ATCAACCATCATAAAGCAACATACATCATAAATACATCATAAAGCAACATACATCATAAATACATCATAAAGCAACATACATCATAAATACATCATAAAGCAACATACATCATAAATACATCATAAAGCAACATACATCATAAATACATCAAATGCAACCACCTGTACCTCAGAAACCAGTGGTCAAATTACGACCAACTTTTGTGTTTGTATGAAGACTAAGACTGTCTGTAGTAATCCCTAATTGCAGCTTCACAGTTCTGAAGGCTACGGACAAAAGAATAAAAAATAATTCACGTACAACAACAATTTTAACCTATTGCCCCTCACCAGATAATCCAATAATTGTCAAACTTGACACTTTTCAGCATCATAAATACATCATTAAGCAACAGTCTTCTTCCCGTAAAACACATCAACTAAAGCCGTAACTATAGACTCCACAACCTTTCCGTACCAATGTCTTGTGTAAACAGTAGGGAATCTTCCAAGACTTTATTGTAGGTCAGCTATTGTGGTTTTTATGTCAGCAGTTTCATCCTCTTCCTCTTCCTCTTCCCCTTCAGCCTCATTCCCATCAGCTGATGCCTCGCTTGGGGTTTTGGTAGCGACACTATTGATATTCTGCGATTGCACTTCGATGACTGGACTGTCAGATCTCGTGATTTCTGTCTGTCGTTCCCCTGAAACCTCAATCTGAAACTTAAAAACTACTTCATAGATTCTTTCCCAATTGGGGGTACAGTTTCTATACCTATAGGAGAGGTGCAAAGTTTCATTTCGATGAGCGGAATTTCTGAGAAATAATGCTTTTTCATGTTTTGAAATGAGAAATATGCTGAAGTAGAAGTCGGGGGTATCAGTGAGCCCTGTTCACTTTTGTTTTGTTGCTTTTAATATTCGTACAATGGCGTTTGTTCTAGACTAACAGTGTTTCATTTGCGGTTGTAATAAAGGTTAACTCATCTGTGTCATGTTTCTATAATTTAAATTTATCTAGCTGAATGTAGCGCGAGTTGATGTTCAAAGAAGAGCGAATCTTCGGTGACTTGTTGCAACTGAACGGTGACTGGTCGGTGACTAGTTGTCGATCAATCACCGATCAAAACATAATGCATATAAAAAGGGCGCTTTTCTGAATGAAATCATTTCTTTGCAAGTTGTCACCGATGAAGCGCCGGTCGATCACCGCCTTATCACTGATCAATCCCCGATAGGTCGCCACTAGGTTGCAAAGGGTCGACGAGTAGACAAAACCGATCGCCGCACAGTGGAAACCAATCTGCGATTAAAATAACATACTTGGAGACCTCTAGGAGACCAATGAAACCTCCGAGCGACCAAATCGGTCGCAGCCAGTCTTATGTGCATGCTCAAAAGACCGGTTGCGACCGAATGGGTTTTGCGAAAATATTTTGGTCGCAAGGAGGTTGCATCGCGGTAGCATTGTTTGTGTGACTGAGGCTTTGGATATATATACTACTTAACATTCTTAAATTTTTATCCTTTTACGAAAGCAGTGGCCGAAATATTATTGTATCATGAGCAAGGAATACCTCTTATCATGACAAATTATTTTTATGCATAATTATGCAATCGCATCTGTTTTGTTGAAAATGAGAGGCTTGCTTATTCGGGTATGGGAAGAAACAGAGCTCTGACCCGGATATTCCAGTGGCACAGATACAGCCATACCAGAACATCCTGGGTCTGGAGAGGACTGCAATTCATTGGCACAACAAATGACGAATTTAAAGTGACCAACATAATATGTGAATGAGATTGTACTGACTGGGTCTCGCTGAATTAGGTAATGCAATATGGCATCTTTCGCCTTGGACCAAGGATAAGTTTTTTGCCTGTAAGTTGTTCCTCCGCAGTTCTATTAGGTTCATTACAAATCGTCAGACTGAGTAAAGAGGGTTCCTTTACACAATTCTTCCATGATGATGCATAACTCGATATTGATATAATGAGACAAGCAGGGCACATATAGCATCATAATTGTGTATGGATTGCACTAAATGCATATATGTTCGTGATGCTAATCGTCAAGCAAACACACTTTGTTCAATTCAACAAACACAAAATGTCGAAATGGTGTTATATGACATCCCTAATTGCAAATAAGCATCATGCCAATTAGGCCATGAAAGTATATCAGGTTTCTTGTCCCAATAGTTATTACATGCGCCAGTTGTCTCTCCTGAATGTCATTGCTTTCCTTCTGCCTATATGTTTGAGAAAGCAAAAGACGTCAATGAATACGTTACTCGCGAGTTCCGTATTCATTCTCATTTCCATACGCATGTGGACCCGTGAAGATCCGGAGTAGAATAGGTCTTCAGCAACCCATGCTGGCCGTAAAAGGTAACTGTGCTTGTCGTAAGAGGCGACTAACGGGATCGGGTGGTCAGGCTCGCTGACTTGGTTGATGCATGTCATCGATCCCAATTGTGTGGATCGATGCTCATGACATCAATTACTGGATTGACTGGTCGATCATTTACAGACCGCCGTCATATAGCTGGAATATTGCTGAGTGCAGCGTTCGACAACAAACCAACAACAACACTGGTTATTAGAAATTAGGACTACAAGCAAAGAGGACGCTTGTAGAGGTAATCTTTTGGGTAGAAGGGATCTATATTTCCTTATGGAAACTGTTTGGTTATTCTCTGACGTTTTAGATGTTTTGATCTTTTAGATCTGTGTAGACTTGAAATGCAATTACTGTCTCTCGTAGTGTAGGGCTTTAGAATAACGGTATTCATTTGAAACATGAGAAAGCTATATTGTCCCCATGTGTTGTGATGTTTTCATAATAATGCGTGGCCATGAGGTGTCGTGTGTTGTTGCTAAATATAGTTCCTATTAAGTGGAGTTAATTAAATATTTAAAATGGAAAAAAGCAAAATTAGCAAAAAGTGTTTGTCGTTTGGCCTCCAGGGGAAGGTTGTCAGTGCCATGTCTCGCTAAACTGAGATCAGATAATAAGAGTTAATTCATTATGATATGACGAGTCACAAGGTTGAACGTCATGTCCTGTGCTCTGTGTGTTATGTCCTGCTATTGAGAGATGATATGTGTTGTAAGCTATTTTTGCGTAGTGTAAGCTACTGTTACCTGCTGTAAGTTGAGGTTGAGGTTATGACGGCAGTTGGATCACCTGCCTTCATGTTGATGAGAGGAAGATAGATCACTGCTGACTTATGTGCACTCCTACCTCACGGCAGAGCCGTGTATCATAGCCATAGTAGTCAGGCGTCTTGGCCTTTACCACACGTTCTTGAAGAATGTGAAGCCCAAATCTCGGGCTATAGCAATTGAGACTTGTACGAAGTCCTCTGACATGGCGACATGGTATGTAGCTGCGAATGGTGTATCCCATGGGCTAAGTCGCTTCCTTTCCGCTTTTTGAGTGTCCAGGCCATCCAGGCAGTCCAGACCCGCCTGAATTTGGAGCCGGCGTTTCTCTAAACTGATCACAGCGTCGAAGATACCGATGATGATTTACACAGACCCACCAACAGTAGCCTCACTCAGTCAATGTAACAATTCTGCTTTTGAAGCATAAACAAAAGCCGATCTTCTGAATCTTCACACCTCATCACAGAAACACGAGACATCGTACTTGTACAGTTCCTCTATGAGCGTGTTCTGTTCTGCTCGGAGCACTCTGGAAGATACTTACATTGGCGTTGGCTGACACATGACCACAGAGCGGACGATATTACCCACCGTGATGGATTGTAGTGAGTTTTGGAATTGCGGGTTGATAGCTGACAGTAGCTTTAACAATGCTTCGCTTCTGCACGCAGATGCCACCTCTTGATCCAAATCCCTGCTGTCTAGTGGTAGAGCGTGTGACCGGAGAGAGTAAGGTCCGGGGTTCGATCCCAGGTCATACCAAGAGACGTTAAAATATGGCACTTGTTGTTACCCTGCCTGGCTCTGCATTAAGGGGTTAAACAAGGACTGGTCGGCTCGAAGTCAGTATACTGTGTCTGAGTTGGGTTAATGTTAATGTATCACAGTAAATCGTCGTTGATGTTTCTCGTTCTGCTGCTTATCGGGTCCGCTTGCGTGTTATTGACAAATGTTGTCACCACCCAATAGTTTTGGACTTTATAATGTCGATAAACCTTATGAATACTCGAAAACACCCACATTTGTTGACACGTGTTTACATGTACCTCTAGCCCCCGCCACGGGCACATTAGAATGTTTATTGTTCATAGATAGTGAATATAAACTATAAAAAAGAGTCATATAAAACCTAAAGAAAAGATAAAATGAGTAAATTTTCATGGATCAAAGGGTCGTAAATCTTGAAAAAAATCATTTACGGCACCTATTTTCGAACTCTGTCTTGACAAGTATCTCTGATATAAGCTTGCAAACTTTCAACCAAATTATTTCTGTAGTTTCTTAGAATACTTGTCTCCATTTCACGCAGTATGCACAAAGTGTAAAACACGGAACCAGGGCCATTACTCTGTAACAAGTAAACTTAAGACACCAATTTTCGAAATCATTTTAGATAATGACCAGTAATATTAGTGTGTCAAATTTCATTTCTCTAACATAAATAGTTTTTGAGAAAGTTTGTCCCCCTCGAGAAGCGGACGGACGGACGGTCGAACTCCTTACGTGTATAATAATAATGATAATCGTAGCAATAACAAGCCAACAAAGCACTTGCATAGAATGAAATTGCAAGTTGTATCATCCTTGTTGAATGTAACACGGATTAAGAGAAACTAAAAGTTGTACATGAAGCTTTTGCCGACTGCAAACCCGCCCAAAGCATTGTCTCTGTTCCAAGGAGTTTTTTAGTGTGAAGCCCATTTGTGGTGTCCCCTGCCGTGATATTGCTGGAATATTGCTAAAAGCGGCGTAAAACCATACTCACTCACTCACTCACTCCAAGGAGTTTTCTGCTCTTCCCATGTTTGAAGCGGACCTCCAATGTTGTACTATTTCAAGATACCATGCTTTTATTTGCACAACTCCTGATGTATGGTGTACAGACATAATATAAAAGCAACAAGAAAGTTGTCCGACCTAACAAACACAAAGCTGGACTATTAGTACATGACGCAGCAATGTTTGGTTACGAACGAGTATATAAGTTTGTCATTCAACCATGGCCCCAATGACAGCCTCAATGTCATCATAGAGGTCGCACGTGTACCTTTAACCCGCACTGCTTTGTCCGTAGACCCTGACGTTAAAATACCAAGCATTGTCGTTGTTACCGCGGCCTCTTGAATGTGTTTCACTGATCCGCTGTAGTGTCAAGAACGTGTTTGTGGTTGTGTTTCTACGAACCGTTTGGCAACCACCTGTACCTCAGAAAACCAGTGGTCCAATTACGACCAACTTTTGAGTTTGTATGAAGACTAAGGCTGTCTGTAGTAATCACTAATTGCAGCTTCACAGTTCTGAAGGCTACGGGCAAAAAAATAAAAAATAATTCATGTACAACAACAATTTTAACCTATTGCTCCTCACCAGATAATCCAATAATTGTCAAACTTGACACTTTTCAGTATCTACAAATGTCAGTCAATATGAACATGCATCCACAAATTATGTGTATGATTTCCATATGTACTACGTACACCGAACTGTAATCTTAAATGATTTGAAAATGTCAATTGGTGGCCGACATTGCGAGATTAGATAAGGAGAGATTTTAAGACACTTCAATGTACCCTTTTTTTCTTTCTTTTTTTAACGCCGCACTCAGCAATATTCCATCTAAATGACGGCGGTCTGTAAAAAATCGAGTCTGGAGCAGACGATCCAATGATTGATATCATGAGCATCGATCCACGCAATTGGGATCGATGACATGCATCCACCAAATCAGCGAGCCTGACCACCCGATCCTGTTAGTCGCCTCTTACAACAAGCATAGTCAATGTAATCAGAAATTTACGTTTAAGCGCGTATCTTCGCCTGTTCTGCATGGAGCACATTGGCACTTGGTATTATATATCAAGATCGTATGTCATATATTCATTGTTTCCCGCAGCCATTATGAAATGTGAATATAAAACCATTCAAGCTGTGATTAATACCATTCGAGATTTTCTTTACTCAAATATCGGACATGCTGTTGTTACACGTTACATATCATCTGCGCTCTTTGATGTAATCTCTGATCTGATCACAGTCGCACTAATCTCGTATGTCAGTAACACTAATCTCTGATCACAATAACACTTATCTATTTTTACCGTCACACTAATTACAGTTCAGACTTATCTTGGATTCACAGTGACCACATGAATATCATGTCATGCTCGCTGATTTCGCTCTATTAGTATGTGAACGAGTATCACCAAGAGATATCTTTGTAACATGGTATTGCACATAACATTATATACATTTAGTAATGTAATAATTACATGAACTTTGTTTGCAATAACCATCCTATAGGTGAACGTGTGCAGTATCCAATCAACCATCATAAAGCAACATACATCATAAATACATCATAAAGCAACATACATCATAAATACATCTTAAAGCAACAAACATTGTAAATACATCATAAAGCAACATACATCATAAATACATCATAAAGCAACATACATCATAAATACATCATAAAGCAACATACATCATAAATACATCATAAAGCAACATACATCATAAATACATCATAAAGCAACATACATCATAAATACATCATAAAGCAACATACATCATAAATACATCATAAAGCAACATACATCATAAATACATCATAAAGCAACATACATCATAAAGCAACATACATCATAAATACATCATGAAGCAACATACATCATAAATACATCATAAAGCAACATACATCATAAAGCAACATACATAATAAATTCATCATTAAGCAACAGTCTTCTTCCCGTAAAACACATCAACTAAAGCCGTAACTATAGACTCCACAACCTTTCCGTACAAATGTCTTGTGTAAACAGTAGGGAATCTTCCAAGACTTTATTGTAAGTTAGCTATTGTGGTTTTTATGTCAGCAGTTTCTTCCTCTTCCTCTTCCTCTTCCCCTTCAGCCTCATTCCCATCAGCTGATGCCTCGCTTGGGGTTTGGGTAGCGACACTATTGATATTCTGCGATTGCACTTCGATGGCTGAACTGTCAGATCTCGTGATTTCTGTCTGTCGTTCCCCTGAAACCTCGATCTCAACCCCTGGAGCCTCGCTTTGAGCTTGGGAATACTCTGACTGAATTTCGATGGCCGGATTTTCAGTTTGTATGGATGTCATTTGAAAGAGAGACAAATCCTCAGATTGAAATACAATGCCTTCTTTTTCGTCATACAGTTCCTTGTACATGTCATAGCATTCTTTATTGGGACCTGTGAACAAATTCCAATGATTTTACTCCAATGATGTGAGTACTCATGGACACACACAGACACACGCACGCACGCACGCACGCACACATACACACACACACGTACACAAACACACGTACACAAACACATACATACTCACACGTACACAAACGCACTCACACACACACTCTCACACAAACGTTTACACACGTACACAAACACATACATACTTACACGTCATCAAACGCACTCACACACACACGCACCCTCACACACGTACACAAACCCACACACTCACAGACACTCACACTCACGTACACAAACACACACTCACACAAACATTTACACACGTGGACAGACACATACACACCCACCCGTACACAAACACACACTCACACAAACGTTTACACACGTACACAAACACATACATACTCACACGTCATCAAACGCACTCACACAAACATTTACACACGTGCACAGACACATACACACCCACACGTACACAAACACACACACTCACACACAACACACACACACTCTCACACTCACATCCCCCCAAAAAGAGATCAAGTCATGTGTCTACATTACACCAGTATCACCAAATATGTCAGAACCCCCTGATGACTAATCAATAATTGTATTCACCACATTTGGTTTCGCTTTTCCACTCGTAAAACAGATCCATACTCTTCCACTGTGTGGCGGTGATGCTGTAATTGTCTTCTACCCATTTGCCTCGGAGTGTTATGTACTTGCTCGTCACTACTAGACACACGCCTGTCTTCCTTATCCTGTAACAGCATAGTGTTGTCACCGTCAATTTGTTTTGTAAAGCAAGAGTGATTGCCTTCCGTAATCTACTTCATTGTAGGGGTATATGTGGCGTATAAATATGTTCCCGAAGTATGTCTTTACGCCGCTTTTTTCGAGCAATACCAAGACGGGAACACCCGGAATGGGCTTGATACATTGTACCCTAGTGAACCAACATTGCACCCTATACCGCTTGGCTACTCCACCACTCTCAAGTCGGTAAACCAGCAGGAATATGTGTAGTCATTCTACATTAGGTTGAATGATGTCTTGACACAAAACTTTCTCTTTTCTCAATTTTTCAATACATTCGACTACATTCGACAATTGGTCAATTTTCTTGTCAGAATCTAAGAAACAGAAATATTCTGAATTACGTAAAGCAATACAAATGTTCATAATATTATAAGATAAATTAAAAATAACAATGGAATATTTCGTAAATTTCAGAAGACTGGCCATTGTGATATAACGGAGGTTGAAAACAAACAGGAAAATAATACGAAATCGTGACGTCCCTACAACGTTATGAGAACAATGGGATACATTTTGTAAATTTCAGTGATAGACATGACATTACGACATGACGGGAGTTAAAACATGGTGACCGACAGAACACACCTGAGAGGACGTAACGTCTTATCGTATAGTTTCAGGAGCTTGGTCAACCTGGCCTTTAGTTGTGGTAAAACCTTTAATCGCGATGTTGATATGGAAAAGATGCGGTTCGCTGCAAAAGGAAATCACCGGTTTATCACATTGACATGTTTCATTTTCATATATCATGGTTTTTTAATAATTATTTTATTATATATAGTTACGATGACCGGAATGGATGGTTTTACAGATTGATCGATCTTCTATCTGTCAAAGAATACTTGACAGACCTTGGATTTTGTGTGTCGTTTTAATGCGTTTTGGTTTGAAATATAGTCACATGGCAAGTTTCTATTATCATCACACTGTTAAACATCAAAAGAGGGGAATGCAAGTAACCATACCTTGAACAATAATTTATGGAAAGGAAACAGACACACAGAGAGACGTTAATCTCATAAATATACAAAACTTGAATAATGATCATGTGCTTAACTAACCTATTTAGCAATTTTGTCTTGTCTTATACAATTTGTAATCTGACATATCATGTTTGTTCATTTGTTTGTTGTTTAACGCCGCACTCAGCAATATTACAGCTATATGACGGCGGTCGGTAAATAATCAAGTCTAGACCAGAAAATCCAGTGATTGACATCATGAGCATCGATCCACGCAATTGGGATACGATGACATGCATCAACCAAGTCAGCGAGCCTGACCATCCGATCCTATTAGTCGCCCTTTATAATAAGCATGGTCGACTTTTACGTCAAGCATGGGTTGCTGAAAACCTATTCTACACCGGATGTTCACGGGTCTCTGACCATATTAATCATCTCAGCATCCAATTCAGTGACGTTGACTAACCACTAACGATATAAACATTTATTTGTATCTGTCGAATATCGTTTATGCTAACGTATTCTCTGAACTATTTGTTCATTTTCCCGCGATATATCAGGTATTGCGTTAAATAGCCATTCACTTTACACTTCAGGTGAGCTAAAAGAAATTTCATCCATGGAATTTACACCCTAAATCCATACCTTTTCTGAACTGTTCCTTCATAACTCCAACAATGGCGTCACATGTTTCCAGCCATTTTGGATCAGCGACCCCTAGCGTCTTGTTGAACCAATCAGTTGCCACCTCGATAGACGGGAACTTCAACATGGCGATAGACGTTCGTGTTGGCCATTGGTCAGGTTCGTGTATGACCTATAAGCATTCAATATTTTAGTATTTTGCCATCATTAATCCTTACAAAAAAGTTTTTTAAAAGTAGGCAATCAATTTCTATAAGGCAATGCGACAAATATGTATCTGAAAACATACAAGACCATGTTTCATTATTAAACACTAAGCATTTTTCTTTCTTGAACCCCCTTACTCTGCATTTCTGCATCGAAACAGAACTGGAATTTGGCCAAGAAGTTCAACTTTCGCTTCAGCAATATCGATTATCTGATATCCTTATCCCTTCCACTGATACCAATTTGAACCAAAAATAAATAGACGAGTGAAAATATGTCATCTGTTTCATATTTTGATCTATGCATATAGATTCGGAGTGACACATAATATCCACACGATAGGGATGACTTCAACTTAATAACAGTCAACATTCGCTTTATGTCGACCGTCACTCTTGATCAAAAGCTGTTTCATCATGATTATGACTTTCAAGGACTGTGGAGGACATTTCCAAAAGTTCGTTCGGTGACTAAAATCAGTTCCTTATTTTGACCTGTACCCGATGTTCTCGTGTTGAAATAAACACTTGATGACGGGTGAGGGCTGCCGTTAGTGGGGCAGGATATGCTCACCATCCAACATAAACACATGCTAATTATTGTATGATATAGTTGGAATTGTACAATGGATTAAGGAAAGGGTAATCATGATGGGCTGTTGACCTTGCCTTGTGTATATAAACTTCGTTTTTATAGAAACATGAGGTACAAAGGTCCTATTCTAGAACACCAAATGTCAGCTTCCCGAGCATTTTGGGGCGGTCGGGTAGCCTAGTGGTTAAAGCGTTCGCTCGTCACGCCGAAGACCCGGGTTCCATTCCCAACATGGGTACAATGTGTGAAGCCATCTGGTGTCCCCCACCGTGATATTGCTGGAATATTGCTAAAAGCGGCGTAAAACCATACTCACTCACTCATTCACTCAGAGTAATTTGATTTTTGAGATTATTAAACCTATTACTCATTTACAGAATATTTTTATTTAAATTTAAAACAAAAAAATAAATTTCCAAGTTATAAACATTATGGTCCTTCATTAAGTTCCAGTTCTCTAGACCTTCCGCTTTCCGAGAAATATATCCTTAAAGAGTTTAATCATTACATTTTCTTTTAATATTTTCATAACAAATTAAAGTTGGATTTAACTCCAAAACAAATCTGACCCTTCTTATGCTCCTATACATCACAATTAAGTTTCAGACGACTGACAACGCGGCTTAGGAAAGCAAGATTTTGTATCACCTGTGGCGCAAATGCAATGATGTTTCCCTCACACTCTGCAAGACTCCGCTGTTCTCTCACAATGATGTCTCTGAACTCTGTGACACAGGCGTCCTGGAACCGAATGAATAGTAGACCATAGGGCTTGTCGACCTTCTCTACCTGGAAGACAAACAGGGCATATACCACGTGAGGAACAATTGCCATAAACGTTCGAAGATGAGTAAAGTGCAGATATACTACTGGATATTCGATTCACCTCAATAAATCCAATTGACTTTGATTCAAAACACCAACCCAGCTGCTGTTTAGGAGTGCCTCTTAAAGCACGCATTGTCGCAACATAAATGCGTACTGTTACCAGAAAACTTAAATGTATTAAATTGTATTTGCCACTGGTTTCTTTGATAAATCACGATCGACATCAAAACAGTGACAATGTAAAGGCTGGAATTAATTACCAGATAAATGTGGGTACAGCTTCAAATTCCTTTTTATGTTGGATAAAATGTTGGTCGCGTCAATACCAAACGTGTGACCAACTATATTCGCTTCCATGACTAATCATTGCATGGCCAGGGCATCATTTCAAAATGAGAATGGCGAAATGGAGTGTTGAACGTTACTTTCTTTGATACTATCTTTCCACGAGTCTTACTCACTGTAATAGCAGTTTTCCTCAACACATCTTCATAAGTCGGGGGCATAGCCATCGGAGGAGCAGAGGGTTGGAGTGGGGCTTGGGCAAAGTCTGCTGGAGGAACCTTCACGTCTTGCGATACTGTCCTGGTCTGTTCTCGAGAGCGTGGTCGTGCAGCAGCAGTGGCGGCCGATCGAGGAGGGGGGAAGGTGTAATTGACGACATAGGCACACATGGGGGTGTAGATATAGTTCACAAAATTTCCTTCCGACCCATCAAACATTTCGAATCCACGGTTGCATTTGGTGTAGGTTATCGCAGAGGAAGCATCGATCCCTGAAATGAATCTTCAATGACGAGCAACCGGGTGGAATCTTGTCTGGAACATCACTTAATGACACGTCTTTTGGAACTTTTAAAACAGAAATTCCGCCCGCTCTAGATATCTATAGTTAAGCTATATGACAGCTGCACTGACTCTAGATTAAATTACTTGAGCTGCCTGTGAAGATCTGGTTTAGTATTGATCTTCAGCAACTCTTGCTTGTAAGAGGAGACAATTCGAGTTGTCAGGCTCGCTGTCTTGGATGATGCATGTCATCGTTTCACATTTGTAGATCGATGCTGATGGTGTGATAGTGTGCCCCGCATCTGCACGTGGCGAGCATAGATATACATGTATTTACATCTCAAAGGTTCAGGACAATTTGCCAAAAGAGAAAGCAAATGCCTGAAGTTTACTGAGAAAGCATTATGTGAAATGTACGACTTCACTCACAGATAACATCTGTGTGAAATTTGGGGATAGGTCATTTTGGCAAGAAATAGTTATCACCATGGGCACCAATTGTGCTCTCATCTTTGCTGATCTTTTTTCTTTATACATACGAAAAAAAGGAAGTTTGACAGGAAGTTTAACTTAATATTCAGGCACAAAGATGATCTGGTATTGTTTAATAATGGTCAAACAGCCAATCCCTCCAACTGATTTTTAGAACTGACCTAGAAATAAAGAGAGCAGCGAAACCACTCCAATTGTTTCACACATATATAGATCTATGCGTCCAGATTCCGAGTGGAAAAAGGTAAGGATGCCTTCATCTTTCTCATAGTCAACTTGTCCGTTTCAGGTGAGCAATATTCCAGCCGTTCGAGCATTTGGTGTCTACATTACAACCTTTGAGATACATCGAGCATGCCCTTTCTTCGAAGAGTCCAAAGAGCATCACACGACTCTTGCTCAAACAGTTGTTTGATCAGACTCACGGTCTGAGTAACACTCGTCAATGCCTTAGTAATGCTTAAAAAAATTTAAACAAAAGATGACATTTCCAATTGTTTCGTATCACTGACCAAAAACATCCCCAATGCAAGACTCTATTTAGACTCGCACCCTCTGTTCCCGTGTTGGTTCAGGTGAATAATTGACTTGCCCCTGCCGTTCTGTTTGTGAGCCGCGACACCGGCAGGGCATGATACGCACACCTTTTAGCAACACCTGGAATCCTCACTATTTGACTGTGATTCAAACGAGCATTTATGATAAATCCGGAACCGGAATCGTAGAATGGAGTCTTTATCTTTATTGAAAGGGTTTTGACACTTTTATTTTAAGTTTCGTATGTACCGATAATCAGCCTAAGGTATAGTTACAAATCCACAACTATGCTTCAAATAAGGCAGTGTTTGGTGAAACTGGTCGCTGTAGTATAGTCATAGCCAGCCTCGTGTTGTTAAATATTGGGTAAAAAGTATTCAAACTCGTTTTACACAAGTACACATTTCAATGTTACATATCGTAGAACCAAAGCTATTGATTCTGTTAATTGTATTTATTGTGCCAAGCAGGAATTTGAAGACGAGTATCATGTTCTTTTTATTTGTTAAACAATATAATACTTTATATATATAGTCGGAATCGTACAATCCTTCCTGTTTTCAGCAGAGTTCTGTTTCTTTTATTATATATTTATTACAAATTTAGCTTGACTACCATTCTATAAACTAACCTTTAATAAACTAACCTTCCATATGCTAGTGACAAGGCGTTACAGTTGTCACGGAGGCACACGAAGTACTCAATTGAATAAATAACAAATATTACATAATTAATTGACCTTTCTCAGCACTCTGCTGGCCAGGTACTTCTTAGAAATGAAGATTCCATTAAAAAACATGTGCTTGAATACACGTTGAAAACTCTCGAACTTACAGATAACGTTTTTATGTACAGTGTCGATTACATTGTCCAGGCATTAAATGTTCCCTTACACCCAATTATCTGAAAACACATTGAATTAGCCGGGATCAGACTTACCTGCACCGCCGCTAGCAGTAGCTCCCCCTCTCGGTGCCCCAGCAGCAGGGGCGTGGCCGTACGGGATGGTGCCGATAGTGATGGGCATGATGGTCTCAAGGTCAAATCCGAAAGGCACCTCAACCAGGACCTGGTGGAATAAAACAAAGTCATTTCTTAACTTCCCCACCTAGGGGGACCGAGTAAAGTGGTGCTCATGCCTCTTTCAACAGTGTGTGTGTGTGTGTGCGTGTGCGTGTGCGTGTGTGCGTGTGCGTGTGTGTGTGTGTGTGTGTGTGTGTGTGTGTGTGTGCGTGCGTGCGTGTGCGTGTGCTTGCTTTACTAGTGCCGGTTTTATGATGACCACTGAGATACCATGCACAGACACAGTATACAGAGTATACTCTGCATACCGATATGTCATTGTTTAAATCCCTTTAATGCAGTGCCCCAGACAGGGTAACAAGTTACCATATTTTAACATCTATTCTGCTATGAATTTGGGAAATATTCGATTCTGATTGATTAATCAGAGGAACGAGTCGATAAACGTTTTAAAATCCGAGATTTGCCGAAGAGTTTTAAACTTTTATCAACGAGATTCTATTTATCATCCAACATCATTCTTCGAACTTTTTCAGCTTGTTGACAGTAATAAGCAGTGTCTTAAGTACTGCTAACAACATAAGTGGCAGATCCATTAGTGATGTCATTTGATTGTAACGTCATGGTAACCAATGACGTCACAATGGTCTGCAAAGCCATAGCGGATTCTTACAAAGTTTGCACATCGGGTTTTCGATTCATACCTCAATGAACCGAAAAAATACACAGTCAATGCTTATGATTAAATTCGACAACGAAAACATGTTTTATCTACAATAGTTTAACCAAAAACTTGTATTGATCAAAGCATACACACATTACGAGATCGATAAACATTGCGTGTGTAGGAAAACATACTGTGGCGTGACACAGGTGATTGTTTAATTTATGCACATAACTTGATACGCCTACAAAGTCAGTAGCCAATCAACGGAGAGTTTGATAAAAACAAAGTTCATAGGACCTGTTAATCAAGGCAAGGGGCGAGAAGAACTGCGACAGTCAGACTGTAACTAACCGGAACAAATATATTCGGGAGAAGGCGGCTGTATCAAATGACATGGTCAGTTACCACCAGATTCAAACATTAGTTCCCTGAGAACGGGAAGACACAGTTGGAAAAATGCTAGTCACAAATGAAACCCGAAGACATGAAAGTTGTGGAACCGAGGCGAGCGGGAGAAAACAGGCGAGCGAGCCTGCACGTTTGCTATTTCATTCCTTCTCGGCCTTCATGAATATGCATGAATTTCGCTAAATGTCCTTTGCATGGGAGCAGAATGGGAATTCCCTCGACTGGTATATTGGGATTCCCCGACATTCTATAGTAATAAAAGTAGTATGCCTCGATGGGCGTGGCTTAATTTTGTACATTCCTTGGGAAATGAATGCAGTAACACGTGATCAATTCAGCAAAACAGAATGCAGGAATTTCAATGAACACAATGAAAATTTAAATTATTACAGTGATATCTACAAGGTAGATATCGCTCAATCTCACCCAAGCGATATCTCCTGTGGATGATAAATCACAATAAACCCCCTCTGATTGTACCCCGCCGTGATATTGCTGAACTATTGGTGAAAGCGGCGTAAAACCAAGCTCACTAACATATAGTGCAGAAAACACCATAGAAATCTACGAAGAGAATGTGTTTCAAGTTTTGAGGACAAGAGGGAGCTTGTATCTGGCTCTTTTCTATATACGACTTTGACGTCATATCGTTTGCGTCACAATGAGGGATATGACGTCATAATAGTGAAGCGCTGTGTAGAACGAAACCTTTGCAAGGCTTGCATACTTTTCTTTAGGGGTGACCACCTCAGGTTAGCTTACGTTTCGGTGCTACATGTTTCAGTGCCTGTCATACGTTCCAGTGAAGTATTAGGTCTACACGAACTGCTTAAGCATATTGTTTAAAGACTGTTTTCAGTGATTCCGTACGTTTTGGTCAACAAGGAGCAAACTTTGGTAAATTTTTGTTTGGCCTACTAAAATTGACAAATTTACAATTGTAGTAGAATATTAAAAACGATTTAAGATATGAAAGTGTTCTTGTGACAACTAGCATATACCTGATACAGTATGAATTATGATGACGTTTTCCACGAATATCTACATTGTGGATACACAATGTTGTGTAATAGACAATACTTAGTCATCTTTAAACCACAGAACCTGCCACCACTCAGTCGTATGAACATTTGCTATGTTTCAGAACAATTTTGTCCAACGATGTTTTAACTGGGTAATCTGGCAGTTGTTGTGCTCCAAGTGACCTACCTTGATGCAGTAGCTGATGACGATGATGTGGCAGGACCTGGGCTTTGTCGACGGTGGAATGGCGTCTACATTGAGCAGTTGGTTGTTCCACACCTGCTCCGCTCCCTGGATAATACAAGACCTTGTTAACTCTTTGGTTTCTTTAAGGATCAGTAACCTACCACAAGCACTGGAACAAGGAGTCAACGTCAACTCTTTCTGTGTGGCTAATTCCAAAGGACAAAGTACAATAAGGTTCACAGGACATGCAATATAAAGATTTATTGAAACACTAACAGTTTGTTGTTAATGTTATCAGCTATGTTTGTATGAGGGAAATTTGGACGTGATGGAGCCCAGCAATATTATTTTTTTTGGAGTAAATTGTAATTCTTGTGGTTTGCCAAATATTAGTAAATTGGCAAGTTTTGAAATGAATTCTTTCTCGTCAAGATTTCTTCATCAGGTTTTATTCACTTAATGTCGCTATTTAATGCTTCAACTGGTTCCGTTGGTAATGGGTTCAAGTCCCTGATTCGACCCAATTATTGATCAGCAGGATTAAACAAAAGCGGTAGCGGTTCGAGAGAGGCAGATTTTGTTTTCAAGTTCAAATACGTTAACTTTGACGTATTTGGAGGTTCAAGAAGAAAAGGAAATTTTATAGCCAAATATTTATCTGGAAGTGCGCTGTAAATACCACAGCACACAGTGGCAGACTTTTCCAGCCGGTTGTACATCCTAATTTAGCTGAACATAAACCATGATCTGGCGTGGGATACCGTAACCACAGATATACTTTAGGCGTTGACCAACCCTCTTGACAGGTGATCCTTCCAGGATCCTGATCACACTGTAAAGTGTCTTCGTCTCGTTGTTGGCCGTGAAGACAACTTTCTGCTCCAACTCAGCCTTCAGTTTCCCCATGTCCTTCGTTGACTCGTTCTTCACCACGACTAAAACACAGGATTGATTGTATTCAATAGGTTTGGAGTACATGTGTATCAATCAGACCGGTCATATTACCCATACGCGGAACACAGCGTGAAATAAAATGTACCTTTCAGAGCGACCTTTTCGCCCGGACAGTAAGCTCCCCTGTCAGTTGCGACGTTCAAGGTCAGAGAACCAGCATTTCCTAATCCAAGAGCCTTAGACACTGGTTTCTGTGCCGTGCGTCGGATTGGTGCCTGTCACAAAAAAAACCCATGATATTATCACATCAGCTTGGGAATGGGCGATCAAATGTAATGGGCTCTAATGGTTGTTGGAACGAAATGGTGGCGCACTAGGTCGATAAAGAGGTGTCGGGGATCAAATTCGAAATTTGCATTTGCAGCCAACGTCAATAATAGTGGGTAAAATCACCTCTGTTGGCTAGACATGTACGGATTCTTCGAGGCATACTTGTGATCAAGGTCATCATTTCCTAATCCCAGAGAATAAGACCATTGTTTCTGTGTTGTGTGGTGGATTCATGCCTGTCATGAATATACACATGGTTGTAAGTTAACTATTCCAAGTGGGATCCTGTTAAAAGAGATCACAGGAATCACACCAGACTGAGTATTATTGACCCAAAGTGTTACACAATGTTACCAATATAGCAGCCATACGACAACAGAGAACACCAAGACTGGCCATTCACGTTGTTTTAAGTGGGGAATCGAAGCTGTACCCGCTTTGGTGCCTATTGTCCTTATTCAACAGAAGGGAACCCCACTCCCCTACTCACTTACTGGACAAAAGTCAAAAGAAATATACTTTGTTTGTTGTTTAACGCCGCACTCAGCAATATTCCAGCTATATGACGGCGGTATGTAGATAATCGAGACCTGACCGGACAATCTAGTGATTGCTATCATGAGCATCGATCCACGCAATTGCATCAACCAAGTCAGCGAGCCTGACCACCCGATCCCGTTAGTCGTCTCTTACGACAAACATCGTCAATGTAATTAGAAAAGTGGGGGATAGTGGAAGCAAGACATATCTTCTGATCTCTATAGTATTGGCAAATAGAAATGATATGATCATATATGCTGGGGAGTAGGCGATCAGATCAAATGGGTTCTAATGGTTGGTGTGATTTGATGGTGGCGCACTAGGTCGTTAAAGAGGTTCTTGGTCAAATTCGAAATTTGCACATTGCAGCCAACGGCATTAATATCTTCGATGCATGCTTCTGATGAGTCGACCATGTTGTTCCACTCATCAGTGAGACAAGCACCGAGTTCATTGAGAGTGGTGGGTGGTCATTGTCTGAGTGGTAGTGCAACCGATTTCTTAATGCCATCGTTCTGACTAATCTGTCCTGGGCTGAAGTTGATGCCCTTTGGGCGTCCGGAGCGGCGTCGATCATCGACGTTATGTGTTTGTTGGTATTAGGCCCCACAGTCTGATGATGACAGATTCAGAAGCATGCAGCGTTAGGCCAACAATATTCTGACGTGTGCCCACCTGTGACATGCCCATGACACGTAAACGTCGCATGACCAATGCTGTTACCAGCTGAATGATTTAATGTGTACAATAAAGTCTTTGAGCGTTTGGTTCCAAGAAAACAATATGCGTCTGCTCACAACACAGTCTGAGTGACAATGGTAAATCTGACATTCCACCCCTTGCACGTGCTGTCCAGGGTCACGTGCTTCATGAATGTCACAATGTTGTATTTAGGAGTTCGGAGTTCTTGCCGAATAAATCACTCACTTTCATTTCCAGACAATGGGGTTTATCCTCCTTTAGCTTCACCTCAAAACAAAATACCCACTACTTTGGGTCAATAGGAGCCATTAAGTGGTATGGTATGTGTTATGAACTGCAGTATTCTAAGCACTTTATGTCGATTGATACAAAGTGTACCAAAACTTCAGCAGTTACTCTTATTCCGTATTGACCATTGCTATACCTTATACTGTGATTCATTGACGTTGATGTCGTCCAGGACGGTGATGCCGTGGTACCAGCACTGGTCGAAGCTGGGAAACGGCCTGTCCACCTCAACCTTAAGCCAGAATCTGATGGCGCCATATTCGCCCTCGTAAGACGACGGTAGGCCTTCCTTTGGGAGGTTGAACTTGTACCTGTAATTGTGTCGTCCCGCTGTAAGGGTGGGGTTTGGCCCATCGGTGTTTTCTGGGAGACAGAGATAACAGTAGATTAGAGTACATTGTTCATATACTCAGATATAAATCACGAACATGTTTAACGCCGCAGTCAGCAATATTCCAGCTATTCCCAGCTTTGACTAAACATAAAGTCTGGGAAACCAATGGTCGGTTACAGTCCAGCAGGAAACAATCCACCACGACGTCGGAGCACTTTGTGCTCATCGAGGACTCGTGTTAACTGGCTCTACGGCATGCTGTAGGGTAATGGAATGGAGGCTGATTCTTGCTGAGTTGGTTAGGTTGACATTATGTTAAAGCGCCTACAATGTACACGTTAACGTACATGTACTCGTGTGTCATAAGCATCAGAGACTCCAGATGATCATGTCGTAAGTATCTGATACTCCGAGGGACATGACGTAAGTTTCAGATACCCCTAATAATATGGCGTATCAGATATTCTTAATGGTTATGTCGTAAGTGATGACATGTCCTAGTATCAGAATTCTGTCGTAGCGTAAGTATAACATTCTTCTAACTGTCACTGCGTAAGTATCAGACACTCCAAATAGTCATAGCGTAAGTATCACATTCTTGTAACTGTCATTGCGTAAGTATCAGACACTCCAAATTGTCATAGCGTAAGTATCATATTCTTGTAACTGTCATGGCGTAAGTATCGGATGCTCCAAATTGTCATAGCGTAAGTATTACATTCTTGTAACAGTCATGTCGTAAGTATCAGATGCTCCTAATAGTCATAGCCTAAGTATCACATTCTTGTAACTGTCATGGCGTAGGTATCAGACGCTCCTAGTTGTCATAGCGTAAGTATCACATTTTTGTAACTGTCAGGGCGTAAGTATCAGATGCTCCAAATAGTCATAGTGTAAGTATCACATTCTTGTAACTGTCATTGCGTAAGTATCAGACGCTCCAAATTGTCATAGCGTAAGTATCCCATTCTTGTTACTGTCATGGCGTTAGTATCGGATGCTCCAAATTGTCATAGCGTAAGTATTACATTCTTGTAACAGTCATGTCGTAAGTATCAGATGCTCCTAATAGTCATAGCCTAAGTATCACATTCTTGTAACTGTCATGGCGTAAGTATCAGACGCTCCTAGTTGTCATAGCGTAAGTATCACATTTTTGTAACTGTCAGGGCGTAAGTATCAGATGCTCCTAGTTGTCATAGCGTAAGTATCACATTTTTGTAACTGTCAGCGCGTATGTATCAGACGCTTTCTTATTGTCATAGCGTAAGTATCTCATTCTTGTAACTGTCATGGCGTAAGTATCAGACGCCCCTAATAGTCATAGCCTAGGTATCACATTCTTGTAACTGTCATGGCGTAAGTATCAGACGCTCCTAGTTGTCATAGCGTAAGTATCACATTTTTGTAACTGTCAGGGCGTAAGTATCAGATGCTCCTAGTTGCCATAGCGTAAGTATCACATTTTTGTAACTGTCAGGGCGTAAGTATCAGATGCTCCTAGTTGTCATAGCGTAAGTATCACATTTTTGTAACTGTCAGCGCGTAAGTATCAGACGCTTTCTTTTTGTCATGGCGTAAGTATCACATTCTTGTAACTGTCATGGCGTAAGTATCAGACGCTCCTAATTGTCATAGCGTAAGTATCACATTCTTGTAACTGTCAAGGCGTAGGTATCAGATGCTCCTAATTGACATAGCGTAAGTATCACATTCTTGTAACTGTCGTGGCGTAAGTATCAGATGCTACTAATTGCCATAGCGTAAGTATCACATTCTTGTAACTGTCATGGCGTAAGTATCAGATGCTTCTTATTGTCACAGCGTAAGTAACAGATGCTCCTAATTGTCATAGCGTAAATATCACATTCTTATAACTGTCATGGCGAAAGTATCAGATACTCATAAATGTCATAACGTTAGTATCACATACTTGTAACTGTCATGGCGTAAGTATCAGATGCTCCTAATTGCCATGGCGTAAGTATCAGATGCTCCTGATTGTCACAGCGAAAGTATCAGATGCGTCTCATTGTCATATCGTAAGCATCACATTCTTGCAACTGTCATGGCGTAAGTATCATATGTTCTTATTGTCATAGAGTAAGTATCAGATGCTCCTAATTGTCATAGCAAAAGTATCACATTTCTGAAACTGTCATTGCGTAAATCTCAGATGCTCCTTATTGTCATAGCGTGAGTATTCCATTCTTGTAACTGTCATGGCGTAGGTATCAGATGCTCCTTGTTGTCATAGCGTAAGTATCGGATGCTCCTAATTGTCGTAGCGTAAGTATCACATTCTTATAACTGTCATGGCGTAAGTATCAGATGCTCCTAATTGTTATAGCATAGACATCAAATGCTCCTTATTGTCATAGCGTTAGTATCACATTCTTGTAACTGTCAGGGCGTATGTATCAGATGCTCCTAATTGTCATAGCGTAGGTATCACATTCTTGTAACTGTCGTAGTGTAAGTATCAGATGCTCCTAATTGTCATAGCGTAAGTATCACATTCTTGTAACTGTCGTAGTGTAAGTATCAGATGCTACTAATTGCCGTAGCGTAAGTATCACATTCTTGCACTGTCAGGGCGGAAGCATCAGATGCTCCTTATTGTCACAGCGTAAGCATAAGATGTTCCTAACTGTAACAGCGTAAGTATCAGATGCTCCTTATTGTCATAGCGTAAGTATCACGTTCTTGTGACTGTCATAGCGTAAGTATCAGATGCTCCTAAGTGTCATAGCGTAAGTATCCCATTCTTGTAACTGTCATGGTGTAAGTATCAGATACTCATAAATGTCATGGCGTACAATGTAAGTATTCAATACTTGTATTTTTCTTTTCTTTCGTAAGTATCACGCACGTGTAGTTGTCATCGCGTAAGTATCACAGCCGTATAGTTGTCATATCGTACGTATCGTATACGTGTCGTTGTCATCGCGTAAGTATCACAAACGTGTAGTTGTTATAGCGTACGTATCGTATATGTGTTGTTGTCATCGCGTAAGTATCACAAACGTGTAGTTGTCATATCGTACGTATCGTATATGTGTAGTTGCCATCGCGTTAGTATCACAAACGTGTAATTGTCATATCGTACGTATCGTATATGTCTTGTTGTCATCGCCTAAGTATCACAAACGTGTAGTTGTCATATCTTACGTATCGTATACGTGTTGTTGTCATCGCGTAAGTATCACAAACGTGTAGTTGTCATATCGTACGTATCGTATACGTGTTGTTGTCATCGCGTAAGTATCACAAACGTGTAGTTGTTATAGCGTACGTATCGTATACGTGTTGTTGTCATCGCGTAAGTTTCACAAACGTGTAGTTGTCATAACGTACGTATCATATACGTGTTGTTGTCATCGCGTAAGTATCACAAACGTGTAGTTGTCATATCGTACGTATCGTATACGTGTCGTTGTCATCGCGTAAGTATCACAAACGTGTAGTTGTTATAGCGTACGTATCGTATATGTGTAGTTGCCATCGCGTAAGTATCACAAACGTGTAATTGTCATATCGTACGTATCGTATATGTGTTGTTGTCATCGCCTAAGTATCACAAACGTGTAGTTGTCATATCGTACGTATCGTACACGTGTTGTTGTCATCGCGTAAGTATCACAAACGTGTAGTTGTCATATCGTACGTATCGTATACGTGTTGTTGTCATCGCGTAAGTATCACAAACGTGTAGTTGTTATAGCGTACGTATCGTATACGTGTTGTTGTCATCGCGTAAGTATCACAAACGTGTAGTTGTCATAACGTACGTATCATATACGTGTTGTTGTCATCGCGTAAGTATCACAAACGTGTAGTTGTTATAGCGTACGTATCGTATATGTGTTGTCATCGCGTAAGTATCACAAACGTGTAGTTGTCATATCGTACGTATCTTATACGTGTTGTCATCGCGTAAGTATCACAAACGTGTAGTTGTCATATCGTACGTATCATATACGTGTTGTTGTCATCGCGTAAGTATCACAAACGTGTAGTTGTCATAACGTACGTATCGTATACGTGTTGTTGTCATCGCCTAAGTATCACAAACGTGTAGTTGTCGTATCGTACGTATCGTATATGTGTAGTTGTCATCGCGTAAGTATCACAAACGTGTAATTGTCATAGCGTACGTATCGTATATGTGTAGTTGCCATTGCGTTAGTATCACAAACGTGTAGTTGTCATATCGTACGTATCGTATATGTGTTGTTGTCATCGCGTAAGTATCACAAACGTGAAGTTGTCGTATCGTACGTATCGTATATGTGTAGTTGTCATCGCCTAAGTATCACAAACGTGTAGTTGTCATATCGTACGTATCGTATATGTGTTGTTGTCATCGCGTAAGTATCACAAACGTGTAGTTGTCATAACGTACGTATCATATACGTGTTGTTGTCATCGCGTAAGTATCAAAAACGTGTAGTTGTCGTATCGAACGTATCGTATATGTGTTGTTGTCATCGCGTTAGTATCACAAACGTGTAATTGTCATATCGTACGTATCGTATATGTGTTGTTGTCATCGCCTAAGTATCACAAACGTGTAGTTGTCATATCGTACGTATCGTATACGTGTTGTTGTCATCGCGTAAGTATCACAAACGTGTAGTTGTCATATCGTACGTATCGTATACGTGTTGTTGTCATCGCGTAAGTATCACAAACGTGTAGTTGTCATAACGTACGTATCATATACGTGTTGTTGTCATCGCGTAAGTATCACAAACGTGTAGTTGTCATATCGTACGTATCGTATATGTGTAGTTGTCATCGCGTAAGTATCACAAACGTGTAGTTGTTATAGCGTACGTATCGTATATGTGTTGTCATCGCGTAAGTATCACAAACGTGTAGTTGTCATATCGTACGTATCTTATACGTGTTGTCATCGCGTAAGTATCACAAACGTGTAGTTGTCATATCGTACGTATCATATACGTGTTGTTGTCATCGCGTAAGTATCACAAACGTGTAGTTGTCATAACGTACGTATCGTATACGTGTTGTTGTCATCGCCTAAGTATCACAAACGTGTAGTTGTCGTATCGTACGTATCGTATATGTGTAGTTGTCATCGCGTAAGTATCACAAACGTGTAATTGTCATAGCGTACGTATCGTATATGTGTAGTTGCCATTGCGTTAGTATCACAAACGTGTAGTTGTCATATCGTACGTATCGTATATGTGTTGTTGTCATCGCGTAAGTATCACAAACGTGAAGTTGTCGTATCGTACGTATCGTATATGTGTAGTTGTCATCGCCTAAGTATCACAAACGTGTAGTTGTCATATCGTACGTATCGTATATGTGTTGTTGTCATCGCGTAAGTATCACAAACGTGTAGTTGTCATAACGTACGTATCATATACGTGTTGTTGTCATCGCGTAAGTATCAAAAACGTGTAGTTGTCGTATCGTACGTATCGTATATGTGTTGTTGTCATCGCGTTAGTATCACAAACGTGTAATTGTCATATCGTACGTATCGTATATGTGTTGTTGTCATCGCCTAAGTATCACAAACGTGTAGTTGTCATATCGTACGTATCGTATACGTGTTGTTGTCATCGCGTAAGTATCACAAACGTGTAGTTGTCATATCGTACGTATCGTATACGTGTTGTTGTCATCGCGTAAGTATCACAAACGTGTAGTTGTCATAACGTACGTATCATATACGTGTTGTTGTCATCGCGTAAGTATCACAAACGTGTAGTTGTCATATCGTACGTATCGTATATGTGTAGTTGTCATCGCGTAAGTATCACAAACGTGTAGTTGTCATAGCGTACGTATCGTATATGTGTAGTTGTCATCGCGTAAGTATCACAAACGTGTAGTTGTCATGGCGTAAGTATCACATAATCCTCATTGACATGGCGTACAATGTGATCACACATAATTGTAATTATCAAGGTGTAGGTGTCAGATTCTCCTAAGTGTCACGCCCTATGTATCACATACCCCTGATGATAAGCCGTGCGTATCTGAGACACCTAATGTCCTTTTACAACATTAACACGCCTATCTGCCTCCATTACAGCACTTTCAATCAATGTTTCATAAGATCGTTTTGGAAGAAATCTCTCATACACAGAGAGCAGTATATTAATCAACCTCTTTTATCTATAATATTTCTCTATCTATTGTTTAACTTTTTATAGAGACTTGGTTTAAAGTCTATACTAAATATCTACAAATAGTTTCTTACGCAATGTGTGTTGTCCCATTTCATATAAGAGATTACGTTTCTACTGAAGGCGCCTTACATCGACTCAAAGATCACCTGTTATCAATGTACAGGTATTGTGTTCATTCTAATGTCAGGTCACAGACTCAAAGCACTGCGTGTCCAATAAGAGAATCCTTACATTAACACATGCAGCTATAATCAGTAAGTTATTCATTTATCTGTGTCGTCCGTTTTATTACAAATCCTAAATACGAAATAAGTCCGGAACTGTCCATTTGAAATAATGGGTCTACATTTTCGTAGACAGCGAGGTAAATGAGAAATAATTGGGTATTAGTTCTTGTTAACGAAGTTTCTCAAACGGCAACAATTAGGTCGTGTTGTTTACATGTCTTATTTAAATCGATTCCTCGTCACTTGTTGGTGGATAAACATTATTTGAAAAATGAGCTTAAACTTACGTTTCTTGCCAAATACTGTTAAAACGAATCCAATATATTTTTCCTTTGCGATGAAGTCCTTGGTTCCTCCAAAGGCTTCTGACGAGTACTCGTCCCACTTGACGAGCGTCTCCCCATACAGGTAAACTCTTACCCCCTTCACTATGACATTCTCTGTGACGTCCAGCACTAAAGACCCCGCCACCGTCTCTCCCTTCCGGTACACTTCCTTCTTGCCGTCTAGGAGCACTGCGCATGTCTGGAATATCGGCATCGTTCAGTCCTAGAGAAACAGACCTGTCACACTTTATATCCTGGTGGTGACGAATAACAGAATACTGAGTCGGGGCTCCAGGGTGATAACCCCTAATGTAGATGGCGTATCTCACACTGGAGTGCACAGTGGTGTATTCGGGAAAATGCAGTGGATGTTATGGCCAGCGGTCTCATATACCAACACCTTGCGACATATACGATTGTAGATCAGGTGACGTCCGCGATGTTCTGAGTGTACACCTATCCTGACCTGTCGTTGTAGATAGTAATGAGACACCGTGAAATACCGCTATGATATCCGCCCCCAATACTGGAGAGTAGTTTACCTGAGCGTTCATTAATATCATATCCATCACACACCTCTGATATTGCTGTTGTTATCAATATGAGTAACGGGAGTATTACAACATTATTATAACTACGGGACAAACTACTGGTGGGAACATGTCTCACGCCTCCCTTTTATTCTTGTGACATACATACAAACCCATCCTCGATTGCCAAGTGTCTCCATTCTGTGGCGAAAAAGAATCTGGACGCATTTGCTAACACAGCTTCGCTTTTTGACGTTTAATAAGTCACAACTGCTACAAGCTATTATTATTTAACGCCGGGCTCGGTAATAGTCCAGCTGTATGACCGTGGCCTGTCAGTAATCGAATCTGGACCACACACACCAGTGATATTATGAGCAACGTCAATCGCCGTCAGTGTACGATTACAGCCAGACAACAGACCTGGCTATATGATCCCCTAGGACGCCTCTGACACAAGCACTGACTGATGGGGCACTCTACGTCCCTACGAGGTTGTACCAGTATGCAGTCAATTGCGGAGAGTTTGATAATTTATTCTTGTAACAGAATTCTTCAAAACAGATGTCAGGGGCGGTCGGGTAGCCTAGTGGTTAAAGCGTTCGCCCGTCACGCTGAAGACCCGGGTTCGATTCCCGACATGGGTACATTGTGTGAAGCCCATTTCGGATGTCCCCCGCCGTGATATTGCTGGAATATTGCTAAAAGCGGCGTAAAACCAAACTCACTCACTCACTCACTCACTCACTCACTCACTCAAAACAGATGTCTATTTTCATTGAATAATTCGTAGCATTTCTTGGAGGTTGTGGCCATCAGGTAATATTTAATCTGTACATTTTTTTCCCATAACTGTATAGTTAAGGGCGTTCAAACAGGTAATATAACTGTAGCAATATGACATAGATTACAAAGTCCATTTCATGTATCGATATTTCTCCATGTTCCAGTTTCGATAGGAAGACAGCGGTTATAGGCTCTGAATTAGTTATACTGGCGTGAGACGTTTGTCTAATAACCCGATAATCTGTAAGGAACGTACAGTGTATAAATGTTAAATATGATGAAAAAGGGAAATGCACAGCAATTGGGCCTAAATGGGTTTATTGAAGACATGAATAATCACAGGATGATCAACTAATTGATCTATATAGGTTTATTGTGAGCAGGAATAATCACAGGATGATCAACTAATGGATCTATATAGGTTTATTGTGAGCAGGAATAATCACAGGATGATCAGCTAATGGATCTATATAGGTTTATTGTGAGCAGGAATAATCACAGGATGATCAACTAATGGATCTATATAGGTTTATTTTGAGCAGGAATAATCACAGGATGATCAACTGATGGATCTATATAGGTTTATTGTGAGCAGAAAGTATCACAGGATGATCAGTAAATGGGTCTATATGTGTTTATTGTGAGCAGGAATAATCACAGGATGATCAGCTCATGGATCTATATAGGTTTATTGTGAGCAGGAATAATCAGTGGATGATCAGCTAATGGATCTATATAGGTTTATTGTGAGCAGGAATAATCACTGGATGATCAGCTAATGGATCTATATAGGTTTATTGTGAGCAGGAATAATCACAGGATGATCAGCTAATGGATCTATATAGGTTTATTGTGAGCAGGAATAATCACAGGATGATCAGCTTATGGATCTATATAGGTGTATTGTGAGCAGGAATAATCACAGGATGATCAACTAATGGATCTATATAGGTTTATTGTGAGCAGGAATAATCACAGGATGATCAGCTAATGGATCTATATAGGTTTATTGTGAGCAGGAATAATCACAGGATGATCAACTAATGGATCTATATAGGTTTATTGTGAGCAGGAATAATCACAGGATGATCAACTAATGGATCTATATAGGTTTATTGTGAGCAGGAATAATCACAGGATGATCAACTAATGGATCTATATAGGTTCATTGTGAGCAGGAATAATCATAGAGACAATATTCAGAGGGTGTAAGGTCAGGAGGGTAAGTGGAATGGGAGAGCTTCAGCCACTGCCACTGAATGTGATAAATGTGTTGGGGTATCTTTGAATAATTGGTACTTATCTCCTGCTACATTATATACCGTCGTTCTCACACACCCGTGAAGATTCAACCTGTGGCAGGAGACATTTTTTTACCGGAATATCCTCCTATATCCTCCAGTTATTATGTAGTCATTATGTAGTCCAGTGTGGACAGTTTGATGATAGTTACAGATTTCTTCCCAAATTTACAGTGAAAATTTCGTTAGATGTTTGGTGGTTGTGTTAACCAAGTAATAAATTGTGTACGTTGTTTCCAATAACTGTCTGGTAAAGGGCGTTCAAACAGGTAAATAACCGCACACATATCAACCCCTTATGGGTCAAAATCTTTTCGTACAATGGACTACGGTTGTCCGCTCTGCTTTATCAGACACACAGAAAATACCGATTCTGAGCCGCAATTGTCACCAGTCATTTTTTATATCAAATAATTATTACATTCTCACCGACGACGTAATCATTGCGTCATATCGCTTCACAAAATACGTTTGCTATCAGTACCATCAGTTTCTGGTATATGTTAAAGTGAACGTATCATTTTTTTTTTGTACTATTTTTAAGGGACTGCAGTGAAATATTATTTTCAGGATAAAACTGTCTCCTTGATATCCCAATATTTGTATCTTGAGTACATAATAGAAGGAAACATGTAACTGTGGTGTATCAGTTTTCAGCCTTCAACTTTCATGTGCCACAAATGAAACAAACTGTTCCCCATTCACTGTATCAAATGGACATTGATATCACACAAACGTTTCGAAAACAATTTCAACATGTTGTGACAAAATGCCTTGTCTCGTGAAATGACGTCGGAATGACGTCACGCTGTTACGTCATATTTTGCAATCGCCATCGTCAGTTCAAGTTTACTCTACATCCATTTGACATTGTGCAGCAAGAGCTGGATCGTCGAACTCTGATTTCTAAGGGGGTAAGTTCATATTCAAAAGCAGTATCCGCTTGTCTAAGCAGTATCTAAATGGCATTGTGTAAATATAACATTTGTTACATTTGACCACTTTCTAAATGGCATTGTGTATTCACAGCTTTCGGCCATGGGAGCCCTGCCAATTTACACTTGTCAGAGGGGTACACAAAGTACGTGATCTAGAGGTGCTTTGCAAAGCGCGAATCGCTTGCAAGCGATGTACAGCGATTTGCCTTACAACAGTGCGCTAACTTTCAGCCGCTTGCAAGCGAAACAATCACTGGCTGAAGTCGCTTCGTTCTCAAACCAAAATGGCGGCTGACTTTGACACTGGAACAAGAAATTCTTGACTGGATCAACGAGGAAATGAGCTAAGTAGCCAACACCCCATCATCCTCAGTCTGGTCAACATCTTCAAAGTTATCATAAATTTCATAAACTCGTCATCGAACCTCTTTTATTACGTTCTTCTACGTCAAGGCAACCAAGCGGTAGTTGCGCCGCCATTTGGAAGAGTGTGCATGCGTTTCGAACTGTTGCAGCGATTAATTTGCTTTCTCTGAGCGATTCGTGGCTTGCAACGCGCCCCTAGACTACCAGTTGTCGGATTTTCATTTTGTGAAAGCCTCGGTTGCTGAGGGGGTTGGACAATAGCATTCCTGAAAGCCTTACAACTGCACCAGACACCAACCTGCACAATACGTAATGATAGAAGTGAAAACTTTAATGTGCATATGCTGAAAAATATATTCCCTTATGTACTTGAACAATCATCAAATTCACATCAGCAATGAATGACTTTTACCCGTGTTGAATGCAGAGCGTAACGTGTATTTATAGCGTATTTCAGAAGTCAGCTTGTGGCATATCATATTGTATAGAAATAGACTGTTATAGACTGAAATAGTACTGAAGTATACAACTAGGCGAATACAACTAGGTGTTTCCCACGGCCTCGTAATGTTAATGTCACGGTTTGTTTGATACCAAGTTCTTTTCAAACATGATCTGTCGCTGCAATCCATTGTTAGTAATAGTCGCATTATGAAGTGTGGCTTTGAAATGAAGTTCACAATGCTTAATGGCCCTGGTGTAAACAACTATGAAAATACATGTAGCTGCGCATCGACTTGCACACCACTTGATATTTGTATAAAGATTTAAGAGCAAAATATCTAAATAACTATTTCTACCCAAACGGTAACAAATTTTGTAAACATATGACTTGTGATTGTACAGAAACTATTAGAAATTTATAAATGTTCATTTATCATGCCATGAAACTAAGAAAATGTATGAATTTGTAACACGCCCCAGACAATGTACTACAGGCCTTTGGCCTCATAAGTACCAGGAATAAAGATTGATTGATTGATATTTGTTCAAGATCTTTATTTCACCAAAACTACACACAGTGGTACACGGTACAAGTCAGTAAATGTATTTATACCACTCAACATTTGTCAGGGGCCCCATATTTGACTAATATGGCTTTTTTGGTTCTTAGTAAATTTTGAGTAGTATATTTATATGAGGCAGTATCACATTACCTTTGCTAACTCTTGAAGTCAACAAATACACAGTACATGTTTTTGTTTTCTGACTGTCAAACCTTTAGGACAAAAATATGATCTGTCGTTGGAAGCCTTACCGAAGAAAATAGTATTACTTTCCACAAAAATAATTTTCCAGGACATATCAGAATAGTAATTGGCCGGTAATTTTCCGGGCTGCTTATACACCAATCAGCCACGGTTCTAAACCGTATACTAAGATATGATCACATGGTTGTCCGCTGCTGAACCCTGTGTATTGTAGGTATCTCATCTTAAGTGAGACAATATCGACAATACATTCACTGTGATGCTAGCAAGCTATTCCAATAATGTAATACTAATCAACCAACCAAACAAACGGCA